ATGCCAAGCTCTGCTTTATTTTCATCAGTTTGATCAGTACAAAAGCAGACAGCGTATGTTTCACTTTTTATTCTTTTTCATTTTAATTAACACTTTACAAAGTACAAAATATACTGTCATTTATTTTGGAACATTAGGATTTTTTTTCTGTGTTTTTTTTTTTCTTTTTCTTTTTTCTCTTTTCCATACAGTACATAAATCTCAGCTTTTCAGCATAAGACCAGCAAAGAAAACAAGCGTGTGCACTCGCTGGGAAAGCAAAGTATCCACTTCTCAGCTCCACACTTCGTGCCCAGGGCAAGATCCTCAGCTGCAGCCACCGCTCCCACTGCCCCCACACCGTGCTCGGCACGAAGCCGCCAGCAATTTGGGTCTCCCCGATGGGTTGTTCCCCCACGTCCCACCCTCCCAGTGCCCAGCTCCAGCAGCTTTTCCACAGCCACAGCCTGGAGCAGGGACCCCTGCAGGGGGTGGACACCCTCCCCCAGTCAGTTTGCAGCAGTATGGTAATTAAGCAGAAAAAAAATATATACTGGGGGTTTTTTCCTTGCCTCCCCCATCAAAGGAAAGGCTCCCGTGGGCTGAGAGGTGAGCAAGGAGAAGGGGCTGCAGGAGGTTGGGGTGTGCAGGGCTGCCCCTGTCCCCAGCCCGACTTCAGTCAGTTTGGTGGGTGTCTGAGGCCAGAAGTGGTATTTCATGTACAGAGAAAAACAAGACATAAAGTTGTTTGGTGGTTTTTTTTAAGAAGGTCCTAAAGATTAGTGTTTCCTTCCCAAGCTGCCCAGCACAGCCATGCCAAAGGGTCCAAGCTGGGCAGTGACTGCAGCGGCAGCTTCTCTGCTCACGTGGCTGTTCTAGAAGTTTTGGTTAATGCTATGGCCATCCTGGGCATCTGGGGAAAGGCTGGGATCCTTCTTAAGAAGTCCAAAAAAAGGGGAGAAAGCGAGAAATGCTTAGTCTTGCTCAAGCCAGGTGAGACACTACTGAAGTGACGATGCACTACGGCCGCGGAAGGGCTGACTGCCCTCCCGGCCAGCTCTGCACAGGCCACCGTGGTGGAGTTTCAGCATAAACCTGCACCATGTCCCCACAGGGCAACAGAGGAACCCAACCACAAATCTCTTCCCAGGCACTGATGGGGCTGACGAGGCTCCCTCTATATTAACTCTCTTGGGTGCCTGATGGTGCCCAAAGAGCAGGAGACAACCGATGTGGGCCGGCACCGTGCCGGGGGGCTGCAGCCGGACAGGGACCCAAGGGGGTCTGCAGATTCAGAGGGTGTTCCCCAGGTACTGTGGCACCAGGAGACCCCCAAATCCCAGCACCACCAGGACCTGTTGGCACGGCTCGCTGGTGGGAGTGGGTGAGCGCAATCCCCAAACTGAGGTCACCGCTCGCCTGATTTTAGTGAAAACAAGGGGAGAGCAGGGAGTTAATGGAGAGGGAGGAGAGAGGCTCTTCCAAAGGCTGAATCAGAGCATCGGAAGCTGGATCCTGCCACATTTCACTGCCCAGCAGCCTCCTTCTCCCCTGCTTGTCCCAAGAGCTGGGCAGGACGAGTGTGCCCTCACTGTCACTGCCAGAGGCAGCGCAGAACTGGACAAGGAGGAGGATGGGCTGGCAGAAAACACAGCTGCCACAGTGCTAAAAGAAATGTCTCTTATCAACTTGGGTGTCTCATGAACCCCAAATCCAAGGGTGTGTCCCAAGCCCAGCTCCAGCACAACCAGCAGCACCAGGAAAAGACTGTTCCCGTGTCCGTGGGGAGCCACACAAGCAGCCCAGCACCCTGCCCCACGGACACTGATGAGCTCCTCTGCTCTCCTGCTGCGGGACTAGTTCACAAATGCAGAGCAAATAAAAACCTGCAGGAAGGAAGAACTGAGACGGTGTCGCTCGGGCCCCGTGGGGCTGGGAGAGGGGATCCCTGCGGGCAGGGTCTGGAGACGAGCGAGGACACGATTCATTTTTGAATTCTATGCTATAACTAAACCAAGGCTGATGTCATCGAGCCAGACCAGAGAGCGTCTGCTCCCGACAGTGCGAGGAGAGCTGGAGGCTCC